CCCCCTCCCCGCCGCTCCGCTACCGGCAGCCGCACTCATCCACCACCATGTCCTCGTAGTGCCTCAGCACCACGTTGTCGTTGTTATCGTAGTAGAGGATGGAGATGGGCGAGAGCCTGACGGGGACGCAGCAGGGCTGGGGGGTGCCCTGGGGGTCCAGCGAGTGCACCATGGTCTGGAGGATGGCGTGGTTGGTGCTGTTGAGCTCCGCCGTCAGGGGAAAGGGGCACTCGCCCAGGCAGTAATTCGCCATGTAGCCCTGGGGGGCGATGATCCAGTTCTCCCACCCAACGTCGCTGAAGCTGATGTAAAGCCGCCTGGGCTTGCAGAGGTTGCTCGTGGTGATGGGGAGGGAGCGAGCGCTTCTCCTCCTCCTGGCAGCTTTGCACTGCTGCTGGCTGAGGGTCACCACCAGGAGGGAGGTGTCCAGGAAGGAGTCGATGCTGGTGCAGAGGCTCTGCAGCCCCCCGCAGGCCGGGGCCGAGGCCCCATCGCTGCCACTCACCGAGATCTCCAGCACCAAGCCCAGGTTCCTGCTGGACGTTCTCCAGTCCTTCGCCACCCCGCTCAGGTTGAAGAGAAGAGACTTGTGCAGCCGGGCGAAGGACTGTTCCACCAGCAGCTTTCGGCTGTGCTGCTGGGAGGGCACCCCCCGGAGAGACAGCTGGGAGGTTTGGTAGAGCCTCAGCTCAAAAACCTGCCCCTGCCTGGAGGTGTGGTAGGAGTTGTGGCTGAATTTGATCTCCAGTTGAGCCATCGTCAAGTGCTCCCCCTCCTCCAGCACCGAGAGGTTGAAGTACAGACGCTTCTGCAGACACAGCAACCTCTGGGGCTGCCCGTTATGAATGAAGTGGCCTGACAAAGAAGGAGAAATAGAGGTGGCGGTGGTCGAACCCTGTTGCGCCGGGCGGGATTCAGCCTCCCAGGGCTCCAGTTGAAGCTCCTGGCTGAAGAGGAAGATGGGGCTGGCAGAGGCGCCCACAGTCGCTGGGTGAAGGTGGCCTGGCTGCAGGAAGGACCAGCAGCCCGACGGCGCGGCCTCCAGGCGGGTCTGGAGCCACAAACACAACCCCGGGCTCCAGCCCGCGGCACTGGGACGCTCCATCCCATCCAGCACCACCTCTAGATGCTGCTTAACATCTTGGTGGGTTATTTTTCCCCAGCTGTAAATATCTCCCCCCAGGACACGGGGGATGCTGTTTGGGAGGGAGGGGAAAGATGGGCCACAGACTTTAGGAACTGGTCAGCTGCCTGTTTGAGCCAGCCCTGGGTTTCCAGCTGAAACGCAGAAACCCAAGGGAAGCTCCACGGTGCCTCCAGACACTGACCAAACCCTTCCCGAGTCACCGAGATCAGCTCAGAGGCCACGGGCTGAAGCAGCCAGATGTGCCGCGTGGTCAGGCAGAGGCACGAAGGCAAAAAGGGAGGAGCGGGGGGACACACACAGAGTCACAGGGCCGAGGGTCCCATCCCCGTGCTGGTCCCACTCGCTGCACCCACAGCCCCAGCGCGCGGAGGAGCCACGTCACCCCAGGCCAGGAGCCACCACCACGAGCCCAGCGGGTCCAGCTGGTCACCTGGGACCAAACTGGGGCACATTAGGTGCCCGGGACAGAGCCTTACACCCTCACCCACTGCCTCGTCTACTGACTCACTCCTAAACTGTAAATAATTGTCTGTAACACCCAGAGGGACCAGAGCTGCGATTTCTCCTGGAGGCTGATTCCGGGCACTGCCCGTCCTCCCCCAGCCTCTCCCACCTACACCCAACAGACAGAAAAGGAAGGACTGGAGCAAAGTCTCCCACAGGCCAGAGATCAGAGCGGCTTCCAAAAGACAGGACCCAGAGCAGGGCCTTTCTGTACCTTGGTCAGCGAAGACACGGATGATGTTCCCAGGGACATTAAATTCCTCCACCCTACAGCCATCTGCCAGGTCTTTGTTTGGAGAGGGCAGCGTCTTTCTCTTCTGGAAGATCCGCCAGAGCACAGACGGCACAGGAACGGGCGTTTTCGGGCTGGGCTTGGCACTCAAACCCAAGGATTTTAACAGTAAACTTTCCTGCAAACTTAACTCCATCCCCAGAACCAGGCTCAGGAGAGCCCAGGCCAGGCTGGCTTTAAAGCTGAGGAGAAGCCACATTGCTCCGCTCTGGTCCCAGACAAAGGGCAGCCAGGGCCGGACCTGAGGACAGGGGCCAGGGGGTGTTGATTGCCTGATTGGAGCCTTTGATCTGGTTAGTGCTCAATTAGCACAGAGGGAATCCCAGGATTGGGCAGAGGGTGTGAACGGTCCCTCCAGGCTCCTCGGGACCTGTTAACCCTTTGAGGCTGCGTGGCAGGAGAGCGGCTGCCCTCCCCATCCCTCGGAGCTCCTACAACCTCTCCCGCGTCTCCACGGCATCGAGGTCCAACCACAAAGTCCTTGGTGGTGGGGAAGAGGCTGCTCGTCCCCGCACAAAGCTGCCGGCAGGTCGAGTGCTGCTGCCACCCGCTGCAGACAGCCCACCCGGACCCAGGGGCAGACACAGATCTGGGTCTCCTCTTGCTCCCTCCTCTCAAATCAGCTTTTTTTTTTTTCCCCTCCCAGTCACAGCATCCAACACTTCTCTCTCAAAGCCATCAACTTCCAGCACACCAAATCACCAAACTCTCACACAGCCCCAGGACCAGCACGGAAAGCCACCAGCACCCACCCCCAGCACCCACCCCGTGTGCAGGGTCCCTGCCCCAGCCAGGCAGAGGGAGCCCCGTGGCCTCCCCGCGCAGCACGCCCGATGTTACTCACACACAATGCTGGCCAACAAGTTACCCAGTTAAATCCTGCAGCCTAGACAGGTCAATACTATAAAATTCAGTTTAGCCACACACATGCTGACTAGGGACCACCGTTACCCCAACTCAGCACCGTCACGGCCCCAACCCTGCTGTGACCAAGCAGAGAGGCCTGGGATATCGGTCCCCTTCATTCCCTCCTTCCTGCAAATCCCACTTGAAAGCCAAGGAACCCCCCTGAAATCCTGCTGGACCATGACGAGCGAGAAGATGACGGATCCTGCCACAGCTTGGGACAGTTTCTGTCAGCCCAAGTCACATTTTGCTTTCTGTTTACTGAGGAACTTTCTCTGTGGCTCAAACAATGAGCCTGGAGTTGAATCAATACAACAAACCAAACAAGAAAAAAAAAAAAACAAACAACAAACCAACCCAAAGAATTAACCACCCTCTGATGCCTGGAGTTAATGCCCTGAATCCCCCCTGCGCTGCCTGAAGTCCGCAGCTGGGAGGAAGCTCAGTTGCCCTGTGAGCAGAGAGTGACAACGGGACAGTCTTGGTCTGAGGGGCTGTAACACCCACAGGGCTCCCCGGAACAGACACAGCTCGGCCCAGCACTGGTCCTGCCTGGAAAACCAACCATGGGAGCAGAAACTATTTGTTCTTTACTCGAGCAAACAGCCATTGCAGGGTGAGAGTCTAGAGATCCCTCAGCAGGGGACTCGGAGGGACTGGGACTGGCTTTTTAAGCAACTATCGGACTCACACAGGCTTTTTAAGCAGATTAAATCTCCCGGCCTTCATCCCTCAGGTCAGAAGGCTGGACTAATGCTCCAGGGCTGGGTTTCCAGGCAGACCTGCTCGTGGGAACGGTGCTGTGGCCCCAGCTCTACGCGGGCAGCTCTGTGTCAGTGACCGCTCCTGAGGAGGAAGGCTCAGAGGTGCATCATCGCCTCTCTAGTCCCTGCTCGGCTGCTAAAGAAGAGCTGGCTTTGGGCTCCCCTCGTCTGGGATGGTGGTGCCAGTGGAGAGGCCGTTGTGCTCCCCAGTTTGATGCTGGGTCAGAGAAGCCCTCAAGGGCTGCTGAGGAAGGGGCAGGGGGGGGTGTCCAACAATAAAGAGGGGAAATCACAAAGGGGCTGCGAATAGCCGGGGGATGGAGTGACAGAAGAAACACCAGGGGACCTAAAGCCAGCTCCAAATCCTACCTGGACCAGCAAAGCCACCAGCCTCTCAACTGAACCAGCACAGACTGGCCACGGAAAGCACATCAGCATCAGGCGAAGCCTGGTCACAGGCAAAGCCCCAGGAGGGGCCTGATCCTGTCAGTGGCATCTCTTCCCCGGCTCCGGGCAGGGGACGAAGGGGGATCGGGGATGAAGATCTTCTCCTTGTGCCTTTCATTCGCTGGGTTTGAGTGCAGGGTCCTGGGTCAGTCCCCAGATCCAGCCAGGCTGCCCAGGCTGCAGCAGCCGCACTGCCCTTATAACCGCTTGTCTTTCACAAGTCCATTCTTCAGGTGCATCCTGTGAAAGAGCAGAGCAGGCAGTGAGCCTTGGCCTCCACACAGACTCTCCCTCCTTCCCTCCCTCCCTTTCACAAATCGCTATCGAGGTCAGACCTGTCTTGACAGGCTCACACAGACAATTTGTCCCCCCTCAGCCAGACCCGCTCTGTGGGATCCAGCATCTCGCCAGCTTCTGTGCTCACCCCACGAAATGCAGATGCTGCTCGGAGAGAACAGCCTCGAGCAAAGAGCCAGCCCCACACGGTGAGCAGGGGCAGGGGTGGGCGAGGATTCATGGGACAGAAAGATGGATGGACACATCCCAGTGCCGAGGCACGGAGACACGGAGTCCTCCCTGCTCCCTGTAGCAGTGTTTTACACTCTGTGTCAAGCCATCCTGCTCTCCCAGCCCCGTGGCAAACCCTTTGAGAGTGGCTCCAGGGCCCTGGGGGGTCTGCCAGCACCCCTTCTCTGAGCCCACAGATGCTGTTGCTGCGTGTCACGCCCCCCTGCACACATACCCTTCTTTCAGAGCACTGGGCAGCAGGAGTCCAGCCTCTTTCTTCTTGGCCGTTGTGGTTTTCTTGCTGTCCTCCACGTCGTACTCGCGCACATCATTCACCTCTTGCACCTGCCCCATCAGCACCTTGGCCACAAACAGGACGATGTACTGTGGGGGAGAGGCACCGTCAGCCACAGACACCAAGGTTTAGAGCTGTTCCACCCAACCTGCTCACTCCCTTTTGCTAAGCGGGACCTTTCTCCACTGTCCTCAGCCCCAAGGACTCAGAGCAGACCCCTCGGGATGGCCAAAGCCCCGGGATGCAGCTGATGACCCACAGGACTGGGAGGCAGCAGCGCTGTGACTACTCTGAACCGATTTCATCCCCACAGGATGAGGAACTCAGCTGCTGCCCTGCTCTGGCTGACATCAGCCCTCCAAGTCCACCCTTTTCACCCCTTCCCCAAAGCTTCAGGGGATGCCAGAGCATCTACAGCCAGATCAAGTTCCATCCTGCCCCAACTGCTGATACCGCTCCCTCCCCGTGGATCCCCGAGGTGCCAGATTGTCCAGATTCCAGCACAGAGGAGCCCCTCGGGAAGTGACCTGGGGTCCCCTCCTCCCCTCCGAGCCATCCCCCAGGTTGTCTGCAGCCAGCTCCATCCCTGCAGCCCCCCAGCTGCCCCCGGGCCAGGCAGGCAGCAGGCGCTGTGCAGCAGAGCAGAGGAGGGAGAAGCTAGTGTAGGGGTTGCTGAGCTCCCCCTACTCACCAGAAACCAGTAGATGTTCATCAGAGTGAGGACAAGGAGCAGAGCATTGAAGAAGAAGTAGAAGGGGATATTAGGGACCGACTGGAGGCTGGAGTAGCAAGTGGCGTAGAGCACCTTGAGGGGGAACCAGTAGAGACGGAACCAGAACCTGCCAGGGCAGAGGGAGCAGGGTGGGTTTAATGGCCCAGGGGGATCGCAGGAGAGGCGTGAGGCCCAGCACAGCTTCCCCCAGCACGGCCTCGGGGCAGCCCTCAGCAGCTCCCCAGCAGCCCGCAGGCCCTGCGCAGCTGGCCGGGGGCTGGACTTCACACAGACCCTGCACAAGGGCAGCTGTGCAGGGCAGAATACAGCTTCTGGGGGCAGACGAGGCTTGGCATCAGAGGCAGGGCAGAGAGGTGGGTCTACACTGCTGCTTCTCTCAAAGGGATGGGGGACAGGAGGGAAATATGGCAGGAAGGTTTTCTGAATCCTCTGCATCCCCAGTTTATCACCAAAACCCTTCGCCGCTCTCCTCAAAGCGAGGGCTCTTGTTGCCACCCCTGCTGTTCAGCAGAGAGGGAGGAAGGACACAAAGGGACAAATGAGAAGTGACAACCTGCAGGTTCCCCATCTCTATCCTTCATTTTGTTTTTTTCTCCTGCTTTGCCCCAAGAGGAACAGCAAGGCTGGGATCTGAGACAGCCCCACGTCCCGTTTCCTTCTTGCAAAAAGTGATTCTTAGTGCTAAAAACCAAGCGAGTGGGAAAATGGAAACAGCTCCTCCTCCCCTGGGGTCATTTATCATGCTGCAAGCGAGATTTCGCAGGCACTTCTGTGGTGACAGACAGTAAAGTGACTACAGAAGGATTCCAAGCCCAGCATGGGGTCAGGCTCTGCGGGAACCTCTTCCCAAACAGTTTTTGAAAGGGTTTGTTCCCATGCACACAAACCCAGGCGGCTGCACCCCGAGGCACTGGGGGGACTGCAAAAGCTGGCAAGGACGGGTGGAACGTGGGAGCAGACAAACTCACCAGCTGATGCTGAAGGTGAGGCAGCCAATGTTGGAGATGACGTCGTTGAGGCGATGATAGACTCCCCCCCGGTGCTTGAAGTAGACGTTGAGCTTGGTGAATTCCAGCTGCACGTCATTGACGTCATGCAGGAAGAGCACGAGGATGCCCACGTTGTGGTACCTGTCGGGTGAAAAAAAAAAACCAAAAAAAAAAGGAGCAGGGAGGGGGGAGATGTGTGGGGTCCTCCTGCTGCGTGCCCACAAGATGCACGTGAGCACAGAGAAGTTTCAGGTTTTGCTGTGTAGCTGGCCTGGGCAGGTGGCAGAGGGGCAGTGTCACACCAAGGGCCTCACCTGAACGCGTACGAGAAGGCGATGAGGGTCAGTGTGACCACGTGGTGAAGCAGCATGACAACAGAGTCCTTGCGCCACGTGTCCATGTAGGCCGTGGCGTAGATGGAGTGTCCGTAGAAGCTGCACTGCAACAGGTAAGCGATGGCGATGTCTGTGGGCACGTCCATGCCCTTCTTCCAGCCTGGGGTGGGACAAAGACACCCAGGTGAACCCAGAGCCACGAGTGCTGGGTTCTGTCAGCAGCAGAGGGGCAGGAGTGCGATGAGCAGGGAGCGAGCAGCAGGCAGAGCTGCCCCAGGCAGCCCCCGCGCTTCGGGGTGCTCAGGTGCTCCAGCTCCCTCCCCGGAGCTCATCAAGATGCGAAGGAAGCAAGGGCTGGAAGGGAACCCAGGCAGTTTGGCTCCCAAACTCTGCCTTTGGCACGAGGCCCGCTCCCTCTCCTAGATCTAAGGGAGAAACCTTGATTTATTTCTCTCCTGCTTTACGGACTCAATCCCATTCCCCCTGTAGCTGACACATCCCAGCCCTCGCTGTCTGCAATAGCCACTAGATGACTCTCTCTGTAACAAAACGGAGACAGCCTGTCCTGCCCTTTCTGTACCCACAGCACCACAGAAAAGGCAATTGAGGGGTTCAGTCTTCTCTTCCGCTCACCCCAACTCCCACTCCCTTGTTCAACCCAGACGTTTTATGAACCTGGACATCCAAACGCATCCCCACTTCTCCCTGGTTCTTACTGTACCATAAAAGACAGACGGTGGGTCGTAGAAGAAGGGGTAGTCGGTGAAGAAGAGCAGGTAGATGCCATACGACCAGGATAACGTGTAGAAAAGCAGCTTCCAGGCACTCTCAGGCATCTTGGCAGCATCTTTCGGCTGCAGGTTGCACCATTCCCCGAAGGGCTGCAAGGAGAGGGGAGAAGCATCATCACAGGGGCCAAAGGGACCGGCCCTGGGGAGCCTGGGGCTGAGGCCACCAAATCCCCAAGAGACCCGATCGCTGCACGGCATGTGCGACACCAGGCAGGGCAAAACCAGAGCCACGAACTCGGTTTTTCTGGCTGCCTTTACAGCACGTAAAAAGGAGGTCAAAGAGGCTCTAGAGAGAGCCTGAGAAACACGAGGCTGGAGATCCTTCCACTCGGGCTCGGCGGGAAGCTGCGAAAGCAGAGCCTGGCTGAGGAGGCAGGAGCCCACGGCACCCGTCCCGCGGGCTGGGCAATGCTCCAGGAGCAGGGCTGACCACAGCTGGCTTTTGCAGAACAGAGTCAATAACTAATAAAATAAAAATCTAGCCCTATCTGCACAGGGAAACCCAGAAGAGGAAGCTGTCAGGATACTATCCCGCGCATACGGACCTCGCAGCACTGCCAGCTCCCAGAAAAGAGCCTTTAACCTGAGGAAGGAAAGGCTTTGCGGAGTCCGAAACACGTGGCCGCCGCTGCTGCCGCCCGGCCAGCACAGCACAAACCTCCCCTGCGTGTGCAACCGGTGTCAGAGGGGGCCAGGTTTGCACACAACGGGTCAGTAAAGCCTGGGGCACGGGGACCTCCTGCTCTCTCACACCTACCCATCCTCACCCATGTTCCCAGCAGGTTTTCTAGCTGACCAGTGCTGAAACACTGCTGGTTTTTCCCCCCCTCAGCTGTGGTTTGCAGAACCCCTCCCACCCGTCAAGACTCAGAAATAGGAGGCAAAGCCTCCCCAAATATGGCCAAAGTGAGGGAAGATGAGCAGTTCTGCGGGTTCTCACACTAATCAGAACGAAACTTTCTCAGCCTGACTTGCCCCCGGTCCCGAGGATGCCGAGTACCGCCCCGCTCTCCCGAACTGCAAGAGCGAGACAGCTGGGCCACCGAGGCCAGGGAAAACTGGGAAATCTGAGCCAAGGCAAAGCCCCCGCCCTCACAGCCTCAGCTCCCCGGCAGTAAAACGGAGCAGGGGATGCGACTTCGCCCCGGAGCGCGTGGTGCCGCACGCTGAACGGGCCCTTCGCTCGCCGGGGGCTCCGGGCTTGGATGTTTTCCCTCCGTGGCAGCTGAGCAACACCAGGCAAGGCTTCTGCTTCTCATCACAAGAGTGACGGAGCCGTATCAGCCCGGCCAACCTCTGCAGCCCCCGGCTGGGGCCGCGGGGGAGCCAGTCAACGCGGGGGAGTGTTGCCTAAGGTCCAGAGGGAACCATCGCTGCCCGAAACACAGATAACGGCCAAAGGCCTCCCCCCCGGCTGAGAGCACCCCAGGGGGAGACCAGATTAAGCTCGAGATGAAAACAAAATGCCTGCAAAGTAACCGTACCCCACCCCGGGTCAGCACTTTCTGCAGCCGGCGCTCGGCTCCTCGATGCTCAAAGGCTATATTAAGGCCCCAGCTGTCTCCAGGCAGTGGCTGGTCTGGCTTTTAGCCCCTCTCTGCATCAGATTTTTCAAAGGACTCCACTCCAAGCATTGTCCCAGCCTAACAGTGCTTTGTTCTAAGCTCTGAATTTCCCAGCACTGGTCAGACCTGGAAGCACGGGCCCCACAGAGCTCTGCCAAGTTGTCCCTGTCGCCTCCAGCTAGAGGCAGGGCTCTGCCCCCCCCCCCATCTCGCATTCAGAGCACGGCTGTCCTCACTGCGACCGGGAACACGCTGCTGCCAAGGCTCCTTCCAACAGGAGCCACGGTAGGAAAAAGAGGAGGAAGCTTCAAGGGTGAATAAATAATGCAGAGACAAAAAGTCCTGAGCCCAGAAAGCATGAATTATTTGTGTCTCCATAGAGTGGAACATAGAAGCAGCTCCGATATGGGTTCAGCTACCACGACACCGAGCTGCAGAGCCCCCTGCCCTCCTCAGCCAGGCCCGAATTTAGGATGCTGAGCTCAGCCTCAAATCCCTGCTGCAGCCTTACTGCCGACTGCCAGCCAAGTCATTCTGCTGCTTTTCCGAGCCTCAGTTCCCTACCTGCAAAGGGGGGAGAACAGCAGGTTTCTCCCCCGGGTAGGCAGAGCTGATGACAAGGCCCATCACCCACAGGGCAGGCTCGTCCTACTGAGACAAACCCGGTCTTACGGGCGTTGGGAGCCTCGGCAGGGACGGCAGCAAATCGCCACCACGAGCCCGATGAAGAGCCCACTGCAGGCACGGCAGCAGCTCCCAGTCTGGAGAGAAAACAAGACCCAGGGAAGGGCTACCCCCACCCCAGCTGGTGGTGGCTAGCGCTCGGAGAGGTTTTAGCCCAATGCTCGGAGAGGTTTCAGCCCTCACCGCGTATGTGGTTAATGACAAGACCTGGAGGGAACCCTCCTCGTCCCTTAAGTAGCCATGGGGCACCTCAGGCTGTACCCGGAGCACTACAGAAATGGGAGCTGGCTCTGGAGTAGGAACAGGGAAGGATCGGAAGAGAATCAGCATCACACGGGGGGGCTGGGGGGACAAATTAATGTCCCTGGGATGACCCCACCAAAACCTGGACGCTTGCCCGGGGAAGCACAAGCCCAGGAGATGCACAGACCAGCCCCCAGCACGCAGGAGACGTCTCTGCCCTCTCCTTGGGGGTGGGAGATGCACAAGGAGGGGGATGTCCTCCCATTACCCGGCTGCCGTTCCCACGGCAACGGTGCAGAGATGCCTGTTGCTAAGGGTGACGGGTGCTGCGGCGGGAACAGCGGATCTGGCTCCGGCTGAAAGAGCCCAAGGCTCTTGGCAAGTGATGTAATGGGGCTTCGCTTAAAGGGCAACCGGCTCTTCCTCCCTCCTCCTCCTCGTTACCCCCACGCAAACCTTCACTGGCATCTTATGATTCACTTGTAAAATTAACGGCTCTGAGGGATGTGACTGTTCCCCCACAGCACCGCCCTGCACAACCTGGGGGGCCGGGGGAGGGAGGGAGCAAAGTTGTGGGTGAGAGCGCGCTGCCAGAGCAGTTTGGAGCTGGAAAGAGAAACCGAATGGAAACTGTCGCTGCCCACAGCTCTGCTGAAGTGTCAAAAAAATACTCGTAGCAAAAAGCAAACACATGCTCTCTCCCTTTTTACAGCCTCCGGCACTAAAGGGAAGCAGCCAGTCCCCTTAAATCTACAACCAGCTAAAGCAGCGGGACATGAGTCCTTCCAGCACGCTGGCAGGCTTGCAGCGATGGGCTATGAATTGAGGCTTGTTAACAGAGGAATTGTACCCCCCAGACCCCCCCCCAGCGCCTCTGCCACCTCCCCAGCCCAGAGACGAGGGCCCGGGCCAAATCCCAGCCGTGCTGCGTCTGGCTTCTGGGCACAACTTGTTCCCCAGAGGAACACAAAGGAATGGCTGGCACCAAGCATCCTCAGCCCAGGGAACTGGCAGCTTTACATCAGTTTTTTTTTTACTCAATGCAGATGATAATGATGAGCAAGCAGAGCTCCAATTCAAACCTGGCCACGACCGACAGCTACTGCCCCTTCCGCGGCGGCGCAGCTCCGTGTGTGTCTGCTCAGAGCTGGGACAGGGCCCTTCCACCCCAAAGGACTGTCCCCTCTGCATCCAGCCCAGATGCTGCTCCTGGACCGGCTGCCACCCCCCCTGCCACATCAGGGATGGGGCACAGAGCCTGCAGCAGAGATGCAGGGAAACATCACTCTTCTCTAAACCTGAAAAAATTAGTCTCGTGGAGCCTGTTGACCCAAGGGCAGTGGCTGCCACCAACCAGGAAAGGGGGATGAACTGAGCACAGCATGAAGAGCTGCAGCTCTCACTGCTCCAGCCTACACCAGGCCCCAAGATGCTCAGTGCCTCAGTTTCCCTTCCCGCTCAGCAGCTAAGACACTGGGAAGCTGGGTTAGGCTCTGGACAACACTTTCCAGATAAAAAAGTAAGAAAAAGGCACTATGACAATCACAACAAACCAACAGACATTATTTCTTCCTCGATTCCTCTTGCAAACAGTAAAAATTTGCCCCTAAGAGAGAAAAGCAATAGACGACACTCTTTGAAGACAAGACACAGCTGCCCACAGGGTGCTGCGGGGGCTGAATAACCTCCTCATGCCTGACTGCTGACACAGCGGCACGGGGAGAGCAGCCCCCGCGCCGAGACGCGGCAGCACAGCTTCAGTCCCCGGGGTGAAGAAAAGACCCATTGTTGTGGTTTTCTCTCCTTGAGTTTCCAGGGTTTGGGCCTCAAAGAGCGGGCAGAGCCCAGCGGGATGAGCCGAGGAAACGGCGTGGCAAAGCCTTCTCCCCACCCCGGGGCTCGGTCGGTGTCCTCAGCTCCCAGCAGAGATTGTGCTCGGGGGGAGGTTTTCAGGACAGTGATAATTCCCGTCCCCCCCTTCAAGTCACACGCTCAGTGCTGGGGTTTGGAAAAAACAAGCCTTGATGATACTGTAGGGTGGAGAAAAGTTGTGTAAATCACTGAAAGGGATAACAGGGACCCTCGCTTTCCAGCTTCCACATCCTTCCTGGGGCGATACTGTAGGAACCTTGCTTTCCCGAGCACATTTTTCTATTTACACACCACTTCTCCTTGCGGAGGACACCGCAATGTCCTACAAATTTTGACACTACTAAGATAGCAAGCTGACTAGTGTCTGGGCCAAAAATGGAAAACATTTACCCACTGCAGATTAAAAACAGACAGCTGGTAAGGATGGAAGTGATACCTGATGAACATCACCAGATTCAGAGGCAGCTTTTACCCAGAATGGATTTTGCTCGCTTACGGACTTACACTTAAGCTGACTTCAGGGACTTTTAACTCCCAGCAGCAAAGAGAGCTCAGGGTTGTTGAGGGCTGGAAGCGTCTGCCTAGGCTCGTCACAGCTATTCTGGATCATTTTGAGTGTGGATCTAGGTGTGCTCTTAGTTTTGTCCATTCAAGCTCACTGCACTGCTCAAGACCTGCTGAGGAGAGGAGTCTGCCAGCACAGCTCGCTGAGCTCCAGGCGCTTC